TGGGCAAAAATGCAAAAATTTACTTACAAAGTAATGAAAATAACGAATAAACGTAATAAACACATTAAATGAAATTACGTATTGTTATTACAACTACTTTGATAAACTATCAAGAACATACAGCATTATTCTTAATAATTGTATCCTACAGCTTTTATTAGTGATCCAAGCCCCTGGACTATAAAAATCTTTTTGTTTGGCATTATCTTTTACCAGTTTTTTTTATTTGACATACCAGTTTTTTTTATTTGACAACACTGTCAAAAACATTGAAGCACAGTTTCGTATTGTTAACGCTGTAGAGAAGGTACGTTCGTGAACTTTTTTTACAAAATGCCTCTAACCGAAAGTGACAGGATTGAAATATTAATGATGATTGGTATTGGCGATAAGATGCGGACTCAACAAGAGGTATGCCGATTATTCCATGAAATGCACCCAGATCGTGAACCTATTTCACAATCTACGTTAAGTAGAATAGAGCGAAAATACAGAGAATTAGGACATGTGAGGGATGCAGCAAGGCAAGGTAGACCAAAAATTAATGAAAATATTCAACAAGACATAATTTTGTCGGCTGTAGAAAATCCACACTGTACAGTGCGAGGATTATCTAGGAATTTTGGTATTGGAAAGTCTTCAGTATCAAACATTTTCAAAAAGGTAAAATACCATCCTTATAAAGTACGTCTCATCCATGAATTGGCTGAAGACGACTTTGACCGAAGAACTGAATTCTGCGAGTATATGATGAACCAAAATAACAATTTCATTGATAACGTTTTATTTTCGGACGAGGCAACGTTTTATTTGAACGGTCATGTTAACCGGCAAAACACCCGTTATTGGTCTGATGAAAATCCACACTGGATGCAAGAGTACCATACGCAAAGACCACAAAAAACTAACGTATGGGCTGGTATTGTGAGAAATACAATTATTGGTCCATATTTTTTCGATGAAAACTTAACAGGAGCATTATATCTGGATTTCCTACAAAATACATTAATTCCTGATCTGATCCAGCTTTTTCCTGATATTCAAATACCCACTAATGTAGACCGCAGAATCTGGTTTCAACAGTAGCTGTGCGCAATGTTTTAAACACAACTTTTCCACAAAGGTGGATAGGAAGAAGGGGACCAGTGGAATGGCCTGCTAGATCACCTGATCTGAACCCATTAGACTTCTTTTTATGGGGTTATTTAAAATCTAAAGTCTACTTCAACAGACCTGGAAATATCCCTCAACTACAAGACCGAATCAGACAAGAAATACAGAGCATAACACCCGCTATGCTACAGAATGTTAGAGACGAAAGTAATGCCCGGTTCAGTCATTGTCTAACGGTCAATGGAGAACAATTTGAACATTTATTGTAAATTTTCGTTCGTTTGTTTGTTTGTTTTTGGAAGTGTATCACATTAATTGCATAACTACATAATTCCATTTAATTTGTTTATTACATTCAGTAACGTATTACTTTCCATAAACAATTTTCATATTTTTTTTTGCATTTTTGCCCACCCTGTACCAATTTGAAGCAACATATTATACATTTTTGGAATCAGCTCAGCAAAGGCAATTTGGAAATTGAAAAAAAAGGGGGGTTCCATTTGAAAAAAATGGTGATGACGTCATTACACGAAAGTGGTTCACCCTGTATATTAGATTATGATTTGAAACAATAGTAAATTCAAATCAAAAATCGACCTGTTTTGGGAATTCCTAATTTTATTGTTCATTTAGCCAATAATGAATTTATGCGTTACTTTATGGACGCACTGTATACATTAATAGGAGTAGATAAAATATATTTTTAAATATACATTGTATGTTTCTTCTGAAGTCCAACAAGCCCTTGTCTTCTTTTATAAAATTATTTTTAGCTACTTTTTATAAAAAAACTTTCTATAGCAAACCCTTTTTTCAATATTGTAGGTTCTTTTAGTAAAGCCCTTCGACTTTTCTTGTTCTTCCTTGTATAATAATTAATTAATTAGTATAATAATAGTGAATTATATTTTCAAAATACTTAATACTCTAAAATCTTACCACTAGCCTTTAGTTTCCTTTAGGCTCAGTCTTTTTATTTCTTCTAACGATTTTTGAGTTTATAAAATTAAAATTTGTCTGGCTACACTATGGGATACATAAACACCTACGGCTCGCTCCAGACTTGCCAAAATTTCAAAATATTTTGGCATATAAACAAAATGTGATCCAAATTTAGCTCGGAGGCCGTACCCTAACTCAAAATGTTTAAAATTAACCATTCACAAAATAATATTTCTTTATAATTCAATTAAAAAGAAATTCATTTGAAATTTGATAAAAATGTTTACATGATATTTCTATGCCGTTTTGTGACTTGTCTTTCAAAAAATAAAATTACCGATTTTATAAAAAAAAAGTTTCATACTCCAAAAATAAAAATATTAACATCATTAAATAACAATAAAATATTAGATTTCTTTAAAAACCTAATGAACGACACCAAGAAGAATATTTTCTGTCGACTCACCTTATCATTCCGTGACGTCACTCTGTTCTTAGCAACCGTGATGAGGTCACCGTATTCTCTATGAACCGTGGTCATTGGTCACGTTCACCAGAATAAAACACGTTTAATGAAGTTTGCGCTTCGTTTGCGATTAATATGTCAAACAATTGATAATCTGGTGAACGATTGTGTTTTGTGTCAACATGCTGAACGGTATTATGTCAGAAAGCCATACTGAAAGAAGAAGAAATATAACCTATAATATAAACCAGAGTTGTATCGTGGTAGTCGTGGTTGTCTCTGTATGAACATTTAATAAAGAGTTTAGAAATTGTGTGTGGAAAATTTTGTTTTGAAATCATGGACGAATTTGATATTGCAAGAATTGTTCATGCAGCAATCGATTTGGCGGAACCTTTAGTGGATATAGGAAACTTTTTTCCAGTTGAACGACCAGAGGAAAACTATTACGAAGAAACTATTCCCAATTATTCAGACATCCAATTCCGGGAACATTTTCGTATGTCAAGAGAAACCTTTGAGGTAATACATAATTGTTTAGAAAATAATTTTTGTAATATCAATGTATTTTATTTGTAGGTTTTGTTAGGACAGTTACAACAGTTTGTCGTAAATGAAATTGCACAAGTGCCACTGAGAAAAAAATTATTATTTACGTTGTGGACAATCAGTAAACAAGACAGTTTCCTCTCTGTTGGGGATCGTTTTGGTTTTGCGAAAAGCACAGCACATTTAATATTTTTTGAAATAGTGCAATACCTTGGGAGACTAAGTTATACTTACATAAGATGGTAAAACTTAGAGCAGCATGTACAGACAGCCAATATATTTCAAAACCGGTCTAATGGTTTTCCAGGTGTTATAGGTGCGATTGATGGATGCCACATACAAATTAAACAGCCTGAAGGAAATGCATTTGATTACTACAACAGAAAAGGTGTTAATTCAGTGATTCTGCAAGGTAAACATTTTAAGAAGGCTTTGAATATTGTTGGTATATAATTCTTATTTTAGGTGTATGTGATGATAAAGGCATATTCACAGATGTTTGCATAGGAATGCCAGGTAGAATGCATGATAGTCGTGTGTATAGGTTAAGTCCGTTATATAATAGAATTGATGAATTAATTCCAAATAATTTTCATATGATTGGTGATTCAGCCTATCCATTATCTGTAAAATTAATGAAACCATACCAAGATAATGGTCCTTACAAGAGAACAGCGAACCTATAACATAAAGTTATCATCTATAAGATCAATAATTGAACGGGCATTTGGTTTACTGAAAGGAAAATTCCGTAGACTAAAATATTTAGATGTTTCAACCCCAGAAAATGCTAGTAAAATCATTATGGCTGCATGTGTATTGCACAATTTTATTTTACTACAAGGTAATCCTAGAGACGAATACCTATTAGGTGAGGTCAATGGAGAAAATGAAGAAGGAAGTGGAAATAATGTAAATAATGAACCAATAATTCAGGTAGCTGAAAATAAAGAGAAGAGGAATTGTAAACTTATGTGCTTTATAAGATAAAATTTTATTTTACAAGAATATTTTTGTACAAAGTTATTGCATTTTTAAGTAGTGATCGATACTATCAATAGTCGCCCCTACTGATAAAACAATCGATACTTTTTCGATAGTATCAGACCACTATTTTTAGGAAATATAATTTTACTTTCTCAATAAGCACGCTATCCTTTTGTATAGCTTTTATTTCACTTGGTAGATTATTGTAGGTTGTTAAAGCATCTACAAAGGGATTAAACATTTGCCCAAAGTGTCAAGTTAATATTCGATTTTTGTTTATTTTGTATATTAGTTTACACTGTTAAATTTTAAATAAACTGTGTAATTTAAGCTTATTTAATTCCTTGTATATATTTGTATATTAGTTTACACTGTTTAATTTTTAATAAACTGTCTAATTTATGCTTATTTAATTCATTGTATAAGTAATTAATATTTTTAGGATTTTATTTTGTAACACTTGCATTTTATTAAAATTATTTTTATTGCACATTCTCCAGTTTGGTATTAGTGACAAATATAGTATGTTTCTGCAAAGTCCAATAGGACTGATATGTTTTTTGTGCTTTCTGAAAAAAGCTGAGTTTGGACATGTGTAGTTTTTGTAAAAAAGTCTTCAATTGTAGTGTACTATTGTTTTTGAGGACCCATATTATTTGTATTCATTCACTTATATATTTTTATCTATGTACTGTAAAACTCTTGTTTTTAATAATGTTTCCTATAAACTTAGGAAAACATACTCATCAAAATAAATTTTGAACCTCACACTGTGGACCTTTTATTTCAATAAATTAATCATAATACCCTTAAATATTTAGTATAGAAGTTATACTAAAAACAATCAACTTCCTAATTGAAAATAGTTCTACTAATTGTTTTAAACAGTTTTTTTTTATTAATATTAGCAGATGAATCATACTGAATGTAATTATTAATTGCACTGAAAAGTAATGTGTTGTCAGATATTTATACATATATTGTAACAAATTCAATCGAAAAATAATTTGTGGCCCTGAAAAGGGCCGTTTGTTTTTTATTAAAACAGAGTTAAATTCTATTTTGATTTTTTAAAATAACATTCCTCTCTTGCTGAATCCTGTTGTTTTCTGCTAACTCTTTGACTAAATTTTCAAGAGCAGCTACTCGTCGAGCTTCTAACTCCAAGTGGGTGTTTCGGAATCGATACAGCCCTCTTCCCTCACGAGCCTTTTCAACCTTTTTCTTGCTTTTACTCATAGGAGTGCTAGTGGTCACATTAACTGTCGGTGTAGACTGCTGGATTGATGTTGACAGTCCATATTCTTCTGTTACTGACACATAATTATCCACTTGCATATTTGATGAAGATGAGGCAGTGGAAGGAGGAAATGACAATGCAGTGACAGGAGGAAAAGGTAATGTACTGACAGGAGGAAAAGGTAATGCAGTGACAGGCGGAATTGACGATGCAGGGGGAAGTGACGATAATATTACCCCATGATTAATAGTTCTATCATCAACAAATATTTCCTCGAACATTTGGTAATATTCCCATACAATTCGCCCTTGTCCTGTTTTTGTTTTTTTATTGTTATCTTTTATAGTTTTATAATGATGTTTTAAATTTCGAATTTTGCGGTCCAAATCATCTTCTGTCACAGAATATCCTTTTTTCAAAAAAATCTTTTATTTTTGACCAAATAATTTTTTTTTTATAGTTGGGTTACGATAATCACTAATTCTCCCATATTCAGAAATTAATAATTTCGTATTTTCTGAATTCCATGAGAATTTTTTTCTTTGACTTCTGTAAAATAGTGGGATTTTTAATTAAGTTTGATATAAAATTAAGCAATACATACCTGAAGTAATTTCTTTAGATTCTCTGCATGGTCGAATTTCTAATGAATTTGAATTTTCTTCAATATAATTCCGAAAATAATTTCCATCTAACCTCAAAGAACAACATTTAAGTATACAATATATTAAAAAAATATTTTCTTAAATTTACCTTCTAACATGCCGTGAACTTGTTCATTTTCTCTAATTGTATAAATAAAATCTTCAAATACATACTCGATTGCATATTCAAATTCAAACGTTGCCTCCATAATCACTAGTATATCAAACGTGTTTACAAGAGCAAGCGAAGATATTTAATGCTTAAAAAATGGCGACCGCTTTGCAAACAGGTTTGACGTCAACGTCTAGTTCAGCAGAAAAAAGCGCAAGCGGATTGCCTATGTTTGGATCTGGTGAACGCGACCATTACCCACGGGCAGAATTTTGACAGGTCGTTGAAATGCTTAATAGCTGCGTATACATTTATTGAATAAAAAGATGCTAATTCTGTAAATTAGCAAATATATTTCGACACCATTTTTACTATATTCGAGAATGGGTATATAAGAAAAATTAAATAATTTGTAATATTGGGCAAATACATTAATTATCCGTGCGTTCTTACTTGGTATAATGGATATGAAATATATTCGTTCAGTTGAGCGCAACGGCCTACTTTTTCGTTATTTAGTCTGTTCGTAAAATAGCTAATATTCATGTGATTGAGGAAAAAAGAATATTTGCTAATGTTATTTTAATAATATCCTACATACTTTTATTTTAGGCTAAATGCGATAACATAACAGCGCTTGAACGATTTAGATTTAAAAGTGAACCAACATGGATGTTTATATCGGTGAGTAAAATATTTTATTTTTTTTTTTATTTTTACTAATTCAGCTCCCATTTTCTAGTTTCAAAATAAATATCAAGGAAGTAGCGGCTTCTTTCTATTTTTAAGTCGTTAGAACGCTACCTATCATTTAATACAATGTATCTTGTTTGTTGCGGCGTTTTACTGGCTATCTGTACATTAAGCAGGTTTTCGTTGGGCCTCGCGACCTCTTGGTCGTAGTCTGTAGTGCCATTGAGTAAACGAATATATTCTTTTACTTAATGGTAGTGCGCTATGTATAATTAACATGAATATTTCTAGTGGTCGCGACGACCTGGGGCTCAATTCCTGAAACTGTGCGCTGAACATCGCATTCGGTTAGCGACGTATGGTAGCCACCGCATGCGACGGAAAAGTTTGTATTCTTGACTATTCTCCGTTAGGGTAGTTTCGTGCCGCATGGCGTAGCGAAGAATCTTTGGTTATTACAGCAGTTCAATTGTTTTTAACCAATAACATTTCAGAACATTGTAACAAAAACTGCATTATCAGCTAAAAAGTGCCAAAAAAAATTAACCTGTGTAAGTCTCAAATTACTCAAATTAGTAGTTTCTATAATTATTAACATAAATTTGAATAGGTAGTTGGAAACAGATTGAGAATAAACGGAAAACTTTAAAATTAGCAAAATATTTTTATAAACTGTCTATCTGGTAACAAACATTAATCCTGCCGCCCGTTGTAATTGAAAGATCGAAGTTCTGCATCTAATTGTGCCTCTACAATATTTTGTATTAATTCGTTTATATCGTCCATTTTATAAAAAATATCTGATGTGTCCAACACATGACTTTCCTATCTAGTTATTACAGGCTTTTTCCGATTATTTTGTACAACCTATTGCAGCACCTCTACAAATGTTTAAAAGATAAACTAAATATATACATTTTCCACATATATCTAACTCAAAACATTTTTCCATATATTCATTGAAAAAGAAAATAGTAAAAAATTTAAATTTTACACTTTTCCTCAAATTTTTCCATTACAGACCATTTTATAAAAATCATGTAAAAAAACAAAAATTATAGAGATCGATATCGCAAACAACTTTTAATTTAACAATTTTCTTAAAAATCAGAATTTTGCACATTTTGGCAAATTTTTCGAATACGGGCCATTTTAGGAAAATTTGGCATAAAACAGAAATTATAGATAATAATATTAGAAGTAACTTTTATTTGAATAATTTTCTTCTCCAAACATAAATAACAGATATATTCCATAAAATATAAAAAAGTATCCCCAGTTATTCTGACTTTGTCCAAAATCTAATCATTTCACCTCAGGTTGAAATAAAACTTAAATTAAAAATTTAATGTTTTTTCCTTTATCCGTTTTTGAGTTTTCATCAAAATTAGAAATTTACACATTTTCTCAAATATCCGGAATACGGTCCAAATTATGTATAGAATAAAAATTATAGAAAATTATATTACAAACAACTTTTATTAAAACAATTTTTATAAAAAAATATTTTTTTTACATTTTGTCAAATTTTTCAATATTTCGAATACAGACCATTTTAGGAAAATTTTGTACCTATAGAACAAAAATTATAGATAATATAAGTACCTTTTATTTGAAGAATTTTCTTTTCCAAACGTAAATAACTGATATATTTCATAAAATATAAAAATGATCACCTATAAAGTACCCCCCAGATATTCCGACTCTGACAAAAATCTAATCAGTTCACTGTAGGCCGGAATAAAGCTTAAGTTTAAAATTTAGTGGTTTTATTTGTAATCGTTCATGAGTTATCGAGGATACAGACACACACACAAACACACATACACACATGCACACACACACACACACACGCACGCACACACGCACGCATACACGCACACGCACGCACACACGCACATACGCACCCACGCACCCACGCGCACACACACATACCCGCACACACACACATACCCGCACACACACACACACACACACACACACACACACACACACACACACACACACACACACACACACACACACACACACACACCCACACACACCCACACACACACACACACCCACACACACACCCACACACACACCCACACACACACCCACACACACACCCACACACACACGCACACACGCACACACGCACACACGCACACACGCACACACGCACACACGCACACACACACACACACACACACACACACGCACGCACGCACAAAATAGATAATAATCCGTGTGCGTCGTTTACACTGGCGAAAGTACTATGGATTAGCCGAGGAGTCTTTTGTAAGTGTAAGCAAATCTGGTTATCAATCGGTTGTAACACCATAACTACATATCGATCCATAAATTCTTCAAAGAAAAGATGAAATATTTCTTGGATTTGGTCTACTTCTTTTTGATCTTGGTCACCCTTAAATAACATCAGCCGCCTTTTTGTTTAAAACTTTCCTTTTCTGACGAGGTAATTTACTCATAGCACATATAGTACATACCAGTCATTTAGAATATCAAAACTGTTCTTTTAATAAAACCTTTCACGAACTCTCGCAAGGGGTTTCTTAACACCAGTGTGTTTCTTACGATATACTGTCGTGTAAAAGATGAAGTATTTCGACTACTCTAGTCTTTAGAATGACCAACTGTCTTACGTTCTCAGGACCATCTATTTACTTCATTAAACCTTCTTCCAATATTAAAAGAGTCCCACTGAGTCAAATACTTAAGACTTAACAACTGGAGAGAGTGTTAATACTGCTTGTCGATTAGGTCGACGATATTCTTTTTCCATCTTCGCATCTTCTTTAAAACGGGATACCATTCTCTTATTCATCTTTAATTTTGGTTATGTTATGTTATGTTGATAATGGGGTGTTAATACACTGCGACCTAAAAGATCTATTGTGCCGCCTTCTGTCGCCACTGTACTAAGGAAATGTCTCAATGACTATAGCGACCCTTCCAATCCTATTTCATTTTGGTAGGATTCCACTCATCGTTAGCTACCGTTGTTTTTCGTAGTATAATTTCTGTAGCAGACGTGACCAACCCCTTTTTGATTAGAATTCCTCGTCCAATCCGTTAATAGTAAATCCCAGGTTATTTCATGATAGGCTGTCCATCTTTCACAGTTCCTTGCAGTCGCGTTTCTCTAATGCTTCACTTCTATCAGATACCACTGTTTCTTCCAGTACAGATACGGACATGGTCTTTCGATTTGTAGTGATCCTGGAGCATTTGCGTGAACTGCGCACATTCACCATTTCACCGCAATGCCAGCAACTTCTTGTCAATAAGAATTTTTATCATGTTAAATAGTTGGTTGGATTATTTATTTTCCTGATTTTTCACTTTTACATTCTTTACTTCTATGTATCCAACAGAAATCAGCGTAGCCGCTTCAAATTCAGTAGCGATGGACAAAAAATCGACCAATGTTTTATGACGGGCTAAACGGAGTGGTTTTTGCATTTTGCGAAAACGCAGTCCATCAACAAATGTTCGAAAAGCTAAAAATTCTGTTAACTAGTGAATAAATGAATGAACACTTATCACAGGAAATACTTAAATAATTAACAATTCAGAGAAACTAGCAAAATGTCTGACCTGGCGTTCTTCATATATCAAATAATAACTAACTTGATGTCTACAGGACAAGCATGTAGTCCATGTAGTATTAATGAAATATGCTAACATCTCCCTTTTTATTTAACTCAAATCATCATATCCGTATCGTTTAGCTCTTTGTGTAATTCGACGAGGTTTATTCTGAATGTTGAACTATTGACTAGTTGGGAATATGGTCGGGTAGAGTTGTTGAGGTTGGTACTAAATTAAACGTGTCTATTAAAATATATATATGGGCAACTTTTTGGTCTGTATATTGTTACAGGGTTTTCAGCTTATTTGCATGAGCTCTGACGAGATTATTTTTGTTTTCTAGAAAAATATTATACATTACATTCCCTGTGCGTTCTATAATTTTTACTGTAGTCCATTCTTCTACATTTCGAGAAGTAATTTTAACGAATACTAAATCTCCTGGACTAAAAACCTTCTGCTTCGCTCCATGTCTTTTATTAAACTGATTCTCCATCCCTTCGTTCCTTTGTTTGATTTCTTTGACTCGTATATTCGGCAACAATAGGTCGTTCACGGTTTTAGTATTTCGATTGAACATTAAATTCTGCAGGTGATTTGCCATTTGGTGCATTTCTATTAGGTGTTCTTCAATATGTTTGAAGGAAAACTCGTAAGTTTCCTCATATATTTCATTCCCCCTTCATCTTTTTAATTGCTCCTTTAAAAGTGTCAACAAATCTCTCCGCTAACCCATTTGATTAAGGGTGATAGTTTATTAGGAATAGGATATGATGAAAAATGGGTCTTCAGTTGTGATTTTGAAGCTTGGAGGCAGCTTTTACATTGATGAACAAAATCTTTAATGTGCTTATCCATTCTGGGCCAGTATGCATAATTTCGTGCAATAGATTTCATTATTTCTTTACCTGGATAACCTCTATTAAATTGTTTCCAAATTATTTTTATAAATTTCTTTGGAATTACAATTCTATCACCAAATATGAGAAAATCTCGCATGACAGATAAAGAATCTTTTCTGTTAAAGATCTGTTAAATATCTTGATTATTAATTTTAGTCGGCCAGTAATGTATTAAACAATTTTCTGTAAAATGCTATCTTTCTTGGTTTCATTGGTTATCCTGTTGGCTGTAATATTTGTTTAATGGAATCCTTCATATGCATAGCAGTAACGACAAATTCCTCATCTGGTTTGGTTTTGGTGTCCATGAGTCAGGATAAAAAGTCTGCATATCCAAACGAATTTGTTGATACAAAACATATTTCGAAATCATATCTCTGCAACCTGTTTACGGTATATACAGGTATTCCTTTATTTGAATCAAAAATGGACAATAAAGGTTTGTGGTCGGTCTGCAATATACATTTTCTTCCAATAATCATTTTGTGAAAC